CGGTGTGGATCAAGGACGACGGGTCGCAGCCGCTGGTGCCTGACAAGGGCGGTGGCGGTGGCGGCGGCGGTACGACGCCGATTCCGGACAAGCAGCACAGCGAGGAGGACCCGACGCAGCTGATCCTGCTGTCGCTGGCCATCTTCACCGCCCTGTCGGTCGTCCTCTCGCTCGTGGTCTACGGCGCCTTCAAGTACAAGAAGAAGATCGCGGCCAGCATCAAATGCGGCCACATCTGGCACCGCCTCAAGGTACTCGTGTGTGTCATGTGTGCGGTGCGTGTCGTGCGGTGCGTGCGACGAAGCTTGACGTCAACAACACAACACAGTTTACGGGGCGGCCGTTCCAGGACGAAGTGGAGCTGGTGGGCGTGGAGACCAACCGCCGATTTTCGCTGCTCAGCAATGACGAAGAGGACAACGGCGACAACACCCTCGATGACGACGATGAAGTGGCGGTGGACGACCGGTCCCTTACGGAACGATAGTCCACACTTTCTACACATACTCTTCACCCCCCCTTCACACAATGTACAAACAAGCATTTTTCATTTTATTTATTTGAAACAAAAACGAACTTTAACTTTATAAAGATAAAAGTCACCAATCGCCTCCTTACCGAGAGGCTGCACAAAGTGGTCAAAGATGATCATTGCTGTCTCCCAGGGCTGCCAGTGGTGATAGTGATGCTCCCCCCAGTGAAGCGGTGGAGGTGAGTTCAGGTCAGCAACATCTCTGCGGCATCTCCACATGCAGGGCAGAGATGCCAACTGCTGCTAAGCGTTGGGTTAAGGGGGAGGTGTTCCACTTGCCAAGTAGGGCCTGCTTCCTGTTTGCAGACCACATTCTTGCTCTTTTCAGGCCACGCCAGTAGCAGCCCAGTTCCGGCCAATGTTGGACCGAGCTGGCTCGGCGAATGGGCGAACAGTACCGGTGCACTTTTTCACTATTTCAGAAGCGTCAGGGGCCAGAGAGGTCATTCTTCCCCTCGGACCAGCGCCACCACAACCTCAAGCCAAGCCCACCGATGTTCAACACAAGCACCACCACCGCAGCCGATCATGGTGGTCAGCTGCTCGCGATGTTCGCGAATGCGGTGAGCAGGCTGACCCAGAAGAAGCAGGCGCAGGGCGAGCTGACCAGTGGCGAGCAGGGCTTGCTCGAGGCAAACACGCACCTCCTACGCCGGAGGGTGCTCCAGCTGCACGGCCTGCCATTCCTGCCATTCCAGCAGCTGCCCACTACTACCACATCGGGTAGCCACCACACAATTGTGCCTCTTAAGAAGAGGCCGATGCTCAAGCAGACAGCCAACGTGGACTCGGCAGCATCCCTGCAGCAACCATGTCCTTCGGCTGGCGGGGTGCCGCCGAGGCGACGAACCAAGCGCATGTTCGACAGGGCGTGTCAGCACTGCGGGACCCGCTTCACCAGCCAATGGCGCACCGGTCCCACCGGTCCCTCCACGTACGCCCCCCCACCTCAACCTTGCGAACCTTTGCGGCGAAGGTCCAGCAGAAATTACAAGAATTGATAAATTTCTACCTCTTTTCTTTCCTTTTTCATGGTATCCAATAAGCAGGGCGTCTGTTTTATCACCAAGGTTCAATTTCTATTTTTTTCGGTGGTAATGTGACCGCTGGCAAAACTGGTCATGTCGTGTAGTCAGTCGACTGACATTCCTCCCACCACTTTCTGCAGATTGTGCAACGCTTGCGGCATTAGATACGCTCGGCAGGTCAAGCTCGACCGAGCGCGGCTGACCCAGGCAGCCTCACCGTCTCGAGCACCACCAACGGTGGCGGGTGATGAGTCACCCGTGACCGCGGCGTCGCCCCCGCAATCGTCGCCCCCGCCCCGAGCAAGCGTTCACTTCCTTCTCAACTGAACAACTGAACAACACCCAACACACCACTCATCATGTAAATGTTTCCAATGTACACAACAAGCCACAACAAACCATCAGCTTTGTCATCAACGAGGCAACTTTTATTGTTGGTTGTTCGTGGGCTGCTCGAGGGCGACGGGCTTGAGCGCAAGCACCTCCTTCTTCCAGCTCATGCCCCGCCCGAACGGATCCGTCGGACTCACCTCCCGCAGCGGCAAACCCTGCGCGTGATGATGTCTTAACGTTAGCAAATATAAATAAAATTAATACAATAAGAATTAAAGCAATTAAATATAAAAGAAATAAGAAATAAGAAATAATTGAAGATGAGAGGTCGTACAAAGTTGACGTGGAGAAGGCCAGGCGTGAGATAGATTCGGCTGTCCTGGTAGTTCTTGAGGATGTACGCCACGATCTCCTCCTTTTCCGTCCGCCTCTTCTCCTTTCGCTCTGGGTCTTCGCTTTCGCTTTCGCTTTTGCCTCCGCTTTCGTTCTTTTGCGTTAGGTCCGGAGCGACCGTCGGTTCGCTGCCGCCCACGGCCGCTGGCGACGGCGAGGGCGCTCGGAGGAGGTCCAGGTATTTGGAGTAGCCAAAGTAGCAGAGCACATCGCGCGTGAGCTTCAGGATGAACGACTTCTGGTCCTCGGAGAAGTGCGCCAGCGAGTGGTCCACCTTGCCCTTCCTCGGCTTGTACGCCTGATGACTGCACATACACACCCTTAGCATACGACGACACACGACGACACACGACGACACACGACACACGATGACACACGACGACACACGCCGCACACAACGACACACGACGACACACGACACACAGTTGTACCTTTGTGTGAGTTCGTGGGTGGCGAGGGCTTGGATGCGTTCTTCGTAGACGGTGCCCTTGAGCGACTTGAGGTCGTAGAGGAAGCAGATGAGGCCCCGCATGGTGTGCCACCGGCGGGTCATGAGGTCCTCGTAGCGCACCACCTTGAGCGGTACGCCGCTGCTGCGCGCCACGAAGAGGTAGTACTCGTAGAACTTGGTCCACACCTGAATCTCGCGTCGCACCAGCTGGTCCCACTCGCGCTGCAGCCGCTCGTACTCGCTCTCGTCCAGGCTCTTCGTGTGCGATGACGTCAGCACCTGCGTTAACATTGCCACTACGGTTAAGGTGGTGGTGGTCCTTAAGGTTGCAACTGCTTAAGGTGGCGATTGCAAGCGGTACCATGTTAAAGTAGGAGTCGAGCGTGTCGAAGGGGTTGCGGACGAGGAGAATGATCTTCTTCACCTTGTACCGCTTGTACCCGAATCGCTCCGGAAAGTGCGTCTTCACGATCCACACCTGATCGATGATGAGCCCACCAACGGTGTAGCGTCAGATAAATGTAAAAGTTGCCTGTTGTGTGTGTCGTGTGGTCGTGTGTGCGGTGATGCGTGTGCGGTGGTGCGCAGCGCACCTGGGAGAGGTCGACAACGCCCTCGCCCAGAAGGCCATAATCCAACAGCTCTCGGCTCAGCTTGCGGTCCGGTCGTGTATCGCTATGAATAATAGTAACATTAACATTATTTAGAATTACATTTACATTAAAATAATCATAAATAAAAAGAGAAGTGTCGTTACCTGCCGGTGATGTGGCCGGTTACCTTCTCCAGCAGTACTCGGAGCAACGAATTGCCTGTAGCAGATTGATTTGAGATTAGCGAAAATAATTGAATTTTTCTTGAACGTAAAGATAAAGTAAAGATTAAATCAATTACGCTTATGGCAGGGACGGGAACCTGATCGTGGATAGCTTGCAAGGGCGACCGGAGGATTTTGGGCCACCTCATCTTCGCGCATAAACCGCGGGGGCGGCGTTGCCGCAACCTCCTCGCGCCCACCTGCGACCTCGACTGTCGCAGAAGAGGCCACCTCTGCTGGCGGCCTTGTGTCTTCCATCTCGAGACGACTGTACTCAATATTGCAGATGCAAACACGCTCTATAAACTCCGAAAATATCATTTAATATATCATATAATTATAAAATAGCACACACAATATTTTTATTTCATGGTGTTGTTCTGTACAAGGTCAGGCAAAGTTCCAGATCTTGATGGTGTGGTCCGCCGACGCAGTGACGATGCGTGTTGACGAGAATTGCAGCCAATAGATGGAGTTCGAATGCCTTGCAGCCAAATGACCAAACACGTGAGGATCATCGTGCTTGTCGGGCGTGTGTGTCGTGTGTGGAGACAAGGGGTACCTCTGGTGCGGTTTACCGAGGATGTAACTGCCCGACTCTTTCCTGTCAACGCTATCAGCGGCGTTCGGGCAGTGGCTGTAGTTCCACACTCTCACGTTGCCATCTCTCGAGCCTGCGTGTGCGGTGGTGCGTGTGCGCGTGCGGTGGTGCGTGTGCGTGTGCTGTTAGCGTGTGTCGTGTTTCCGTTGGAAGGCGAGGGTTGGGAGCGCACCGGTGACCAGTCGCCCGAGGGATGCCTGGAGCGTCCATATGCGGTCGCTGTGGCCCATGAACTCGGCCTCCTTGAGGACCGCGTAGGAGTCCGATGAGGTGCATGGAATCAACGACTTGCCATAGTGCCGCACGACTCCTGCGCAGACCCAACCAACGCATGTGAGACTCCCCGGTGTGAAGCCGATGGCGACACACACACGACACACAGTCGCGCGTGCGACGATCGTACCGGTCAGCTTTTGGAGATTGTAGACGAAGATGGGGAAGTTGTGTTTGCGGTCGCTGTCGCCGCCCACGAAAAGCTTGGAATTGTTGGCCTGCAGGCACATTACTTTGCCCAGCCCTGCCGACACACGACACACGACACGCACAGAACGAATCATGGCCAGAGATAAGAGAAAAACCACATTATCATTAAATAAATAAAGAAGCTCGCATGCGACAGTAAACTGCGTTGCAGGAGGAGGACTAAACGCGCACCTGTCGGAATTCTGTACACGCAAGCCACAGGCCCGCTCGAATCTGCGGCGTAGTCGCCCTTCCCCTTCAGGCGTGGGTCCCACAGCTTGATCATTCCCTGTGTGCGGTTACCAGCTTAGGTACAGTCGACGAACTTGAAGCACTCAAGTAGACGGCTAGACGAGACGTACATCACTGCCACCCGATATAATACATCCCGTCTGCTTGTCCAACTGTACACAGCGCACGGCGGTCGTATCCTACACGCGAGATGACACGACACGACACGACACGACCAACGACACGACACGACACGTACCGTCCAAACTGTTTGGAGCGAAGAAGGAAGAGGCGAAAGAGTGTCGTGTCGTGGGATTACCTTGAGAGTGGCAATGCACGTGGACGTATTCACATCGAAGAGCTTGAGGGTTTGGTCCAGAGAACAGGAGAGGAGCTTGTTGCCGTCGTCGCAGAGCTTGATCATTTGCACCGGACCCTGGTGACCACCCTGCTCTGAGAGGCCAAGTGAGAGAAAACGGTGATTAAAAGCATCATCGACACGGCGCACACACGCACACACGCGGCGTAGGTGGAGTACCTTCGCCCATTACAGACAGCGGTTCGTCGGAGACGATGCTCTGCCGCCAGACTTTGATGGTGTTATCGGAAGAACATGAGAACAGAAGGTCGTTGCTGTCGTTACTGGGAGGCACGAGCCCGGCCACTTCCTCGCGCGTCTCCTCTCGGCTCGACTTCAGCTGCCTGACATGGTCTTGCTCCCTGTCCAATGAGTGTGAGTCTTGCGCTGCCGCCGCCGCTGCCGCTCCTGCCCGCCGGCCCACCACCCACCGCCGCGCACCATGCAAACAATAACTGGACGTGGTACCCTCGTCGTGATCGACTTCGGTAGGCGATATTTTCGTCGTCCCACGAGGTGTTGCAATTCTCCAGCGTTTGCAGACAGTTGATGGCCGAGTCGTGCGCCTTGATCTCCCGCAGCGGGTAGTAGTTGATCAAGTCCAGTCGCTTTATCGTTCCTGGTTTTTAAATTGAATATTCACATATTTGTAAGCTTTACGTTTGAATAAAATAATAAAAAATAAAACATAGAAAGAAAGAAAAAAATCAGACGTTCAGTACATACCTTTGGCGTTGCCGCTCCACAGCAGTTGCTTTTCCTCGGAGAAGAGAATGCAGTAGACGCGACGTCGAGACACGAGGGTCTTCACGGCGCAGTTGCCGTCCTTCCAGTTGCGCTCCAGCTGGTGGTACTTGCGGAACACGCCTCGCCACCCGCTCTTGATCTTGGGCGGCAGGACCGAGGCTGCGCCCGCGTTGGCCGCCACGGCCGCGGCCGCATCCGGGTCGAGTGATGTCGACGTCGACGTCGAACACGACGACAGTGGCCCGGCACGGCCCCACAGGAAGGACTTGTCGCTCTCCTCCTTGTAGAACGGATGGTTACGGTCCCTGTCTCTTTTCTTGTCGGCCACCACCGCCTCGCTAGGGCCGCTGCCGCTGCTGCTGCTGTTCGTCGATTGCGACAAGGTTGCGCGACGTTGCTGGGGCGATGGCATCAACGCTACGGCGCCGGCTCGCTCGTCTCGGCTGCTACTCTCCTCGTCGTTGTTGCTGTTGCTGCTTTTGTTGTCGTCGTTGTCATTGTCGCCGACGGCGTTGATGCTGCTGTTGCTGCTGGCGTTGAGGGCGACGATGTCGTCGTTGCTGCTCTCCCCGCGGTCGTCCAGGGCCGCAGCTTCTTCGTCGGCGCTGCCGCTGGCAAAGGGCTGTGATGACGATGAAGCAGAAGAAGCCCGTTCGCGCGAGCGCGCCGAGTTGAGGCGGCTGTGGTGCTTGCCCAGCTTGCCGCCTTGGTTGAGCAGCGCCTCCTTCTCCACGCGCTTGAGGAACCAGAACTCCATTTCGACGGGGTGTGATGGTATGTGCTTCCTACGATTGGGGGGGGGCGAAAATACAACATATGAGACGCAGCACGACACGACACGACACGACACGACACGACACACGACACGACAGGAGATGAGAATGGAGAACCTGCACATGG